AAAAAAAATATATATAATACACAGAAAACAACTTATATAACACATAACACATTAAATATATTAAGTTTAATATAATATAATATAATATAATACATGTCTTATGTATAACTATTATTGTTTTACATATATACACATTAAATATAAAATAAACATTAAATGCATATAAAATGTTTATAATATAATATAATATAATATAATATATGTTAGAAATTGACTTGCAGTAAAAGTGTGTTTATTTAATGCACAGAGCCAAAAGTGCCCATAGTTGAAGAAACACCTTTGGAACAATCTGAGAACACAAAGTAATTTTGGATGCAGTCCTGTCAATGATGGATCCACAAACACATGTTACTGTCAGAAAAGGAAAAGAAACATCATGACTACACAGTGACGAGGGGCCGACGCTGTAGTAACACGAAGCGACATGTTAGAATAGAGAGTGGTTAGAGAGACTTGAGGGCCAGAGACAAGATGAGAGTACTTGAAATGGAGGCACACGTTTCACGAACCACTGAGAACCGGACAACCAAGCCAGAGAGAAGGAGACGCTCCTACCTAATGTTAGCTGAGCAACTCCTACAGCGGGAAGGAAGAAGGAACATTTCAGGCTGGCGTTGCTACCGTAGATTTACAGTAGGTTTAGATTATCGTGAAACACTTTGCTCTTTCAATCCATTAAAGTCCTGAATAAATGGAGATTTTTCAATCATCTCTCAGAAGAAACAAACACATTTAACGATTAGATCCAAGAAAGGGAAGGGATCAATGAAAAATTCTGTCATCTTTCAATAACTCTGTCCATACTCTGTCTTTCCAAACTTTCTTTCTTTTGTAAAACATATAAGGAAATATTCAGCAGAATGTCCAAGCTGCTCTTTTCTTTACAATAAAATTGGGTGGTGACCAATGGCTATCAAGCATCAAAAAATACATTAAAGTGATACAAAAGCATCATAAAAGTGGTTCAATCAAGTGCTATATTCTTTTGAAGCCATATGATAACTATGTGTGAAAAACAGAGCTTAAAATGCTTTACAATAGACACAAAATGCTTTAATATACATAAATTATCCTATGTGTGTAAATCACTTTGTGCAGTCAAGTAAAGTAGTCAAAGCAGCACTATGAGTGGGATAACATATCTAATCTCTAGTTCACTTCAGACTGTCACTTTCAGGATATGACCCACCACCTCATCTGCCTACTGGCTCGTGTTTTTAATTCGAGAATCTAGCACCAACCTCACGGCACCGAGACCTTGTCACAGCAGCTGAGAATCAGTGCTTTAATGCGCCATTTACTGCAGTATGATCCTTCAGGCTAAATCCAATCTGAGCCACCCGTACGCACCTTCATCTTCTGACACGTCCAGTATTTCATCCACCGTCTCTGGGAAACTCATGCGATGCTTCTCGGTGGTGATCTGAGGGATAGAGAGGGAATATATTAACAAATCGAGAAGGCGAATGTTGCACAAATTCAGACTGGATACAGTTTGTGAGATGCAAACGGCTCTCACCATAGACACGGATTCCTCAGTCACCAGTTTCAGCACATCAATGACAGAGATGTACCCTAGCCGCTTAGCGATGCCCAGAGGTGACGTCCCATTCTGCCACAGATAACACAGTCAGGTTACTAAATCTTACACGTCTTTTCAACAGGATAATTATGAAATAACAGCTTATGTTTACTGCAGAGGACTGGCAGCATGACAGCAGAAATTACCCAGACCAAATGCTCTTCATCAGACATTCAAGCAGTGTATACTATTTTTTGATGAGAAAAATTATATTTCAAGTATGGGGGAAAGGGGTCTGCTCACAGTGGTGATCTCATTGGGCAGGGCTCCATGTTTCAACAGCAGGGTGACGATGTCTGTATGGCCCTGCTGGGCTGCTTGATGTAAAGGAGAGTATCCCAGCTGGAAAAGAAGATAAGGGAAAATGAGATCGCAGAAGTACATACTAGCACTAAAAATTGTACAAAAAGAAAAGCCTGTGTAGTGTGTACAGTACATCCAGAAGTGTAGCACTTACTCTTGTCTTGCTGTTAACATGTGCTTGCTGCTGGAGTAAGAACTTCACCATCTTTATGTTCCCATAGTGACATGCCACATGTAAGGGTGTGTAGCCCATCTACCAGAGAGAGCGATTTAAAAGGGTGATAAGGAAATATCGCACAAGGCACTGAGGGCACAAATTCTAGGACGTTCTACAGATGGCCCTGCTGAGTGTGTGTGTGTGTGTGTGTTTCTGTGCGCATTGAAGTGTCTTACCCTTGAGGCTGCATAGACTGAAGCACCCTGCTTCACCAGCATGTCTGCAATGCCCACATGCCCTTCCTGAGCAACCAGGTGCAGAGGTGTCAGCCCATTCTGTACAAACACACACACACATACACACACACACACACACACAAAGGATATCAGAAGAATATTAAATGCATCCTTTTCCATATTCTTCCAACACATCTCAACCTTTTTTAGTTTTTTCTCTCTCTAACGTAGATCGAATACCAATTAACCAAAGCTTAAACAGTGTATCACCTTGTTGCCCAGGTTAACATTGGCCTGTTTGGATATGAGCAGCACCACCATGTCAGGTTGCCCCTCCTGTGACGCCAGGTGAAGCGGGGTGATGCCCTGTAGTGACTCTGAGTTGGCATTAGCTCCATACTGCAGCAGACTGCTTGCCACCTCCAGTTGGTTCTGCTTGGCTGCGATATGCAGGGCTGTGTAGCCATTCTGTCAAATGGAAGAAAACTAAAAGTGACTGTTTTTCTTGGATGGCTTTTGAAAGTGTGAAATAGAATGCAACCCTTAACGTCACAGCTCAGAATAGTCACCGTCCCAAATCTCGTATGGTGTTTATGTGTATCTTACTCTCGCCGTGATGTGCGGAGAGCCGCCCTTGCTGACCAGCAGCTTGACTACATCAAGGTTGTTGTGATGGACGGCCACGTGCAAAGGGGTCAAGCCATTCTGAGGGGAGAGAGGAGACACATGGCCTCAGTCAGTCACCGCTGACCGTCATCTGATATTAGCAGACAAGTACTGAGATATCAGATGTTTGTCTTGATGAATTACCTTCCCAGCTGCATTGGGATTGGCCCCTCTTTCCAAAAGCAGCTCCGCCACATCCACTTTCCCGTATTTACATGCTACATGTAGAGGAGTAAATCCTTTCTGTAAGAAAACACAGATATACACACTGAGAACACAGGTGAAGCTGTGAATATTTAGTTGTCAGTTAGTGAAATTGACTGTTTGTTAAGCTGCGCCCACCTAGTAGCAGTTACTGCTGCTAACTTTACAGGCTTTACAGAATTTTGCATAGGAGTTTTTTTAACCATATTTTTTTGGGATAATTTCTAAAAAACACACAAGACGCCAATGGACGCCAACAGTTGGACTTCAAGGCATAATTGGTCAGAAGCATTTTAAGGCAGGGCTCAGCGAAGGGCTAACTGAGAGGAGTGAACCTTGGTCATTTTGGTTTGTTGGGCATTCCCATCGAGCAGGATGCGTGTGGTTTGGGAGTGTCCCTCGCGGGCGGCGATGTGCAAAGGAGTGTGACCTGCTGTGGTGGTCGAATCTGGATTGGCCTTATGTTCCAAGAGCAGCTTCACCAACTCCTTATGCCCCATTCGAGCGGCACAGTGCAAGGGGGTTTGATCATCCTGTGAAATGAAAGAGCGAGATAGAGGACACGTGAGATTTAAAAAAAAATGTAAAAAGAAGATAAATGAAGTTAAAACAGCTTGTATGACTGGTGTACCTTCGCTTTGGCATCCACCTGTGCATTGTTCTGTAGCAGAAACTGAGCCACCTCACAGTGCCCTGCTCTGGCAGCCATGTGCAAAGGGGTCTCCACTTTCTACAACGGCAAATTGAAACACAGTCACAAACATTTAGTTCTGAAAAGAAAACTGTGAACACTGCCATAATCGTTGCTAAAGACATTAGCCCATTTGTAAAGCAGAATAGCTGTGCCTTTGGGATTTGATTGTTGGGTATCTCCGAGGTGCTGAATAGATTACACATTTCTTACCACATTAGATGCGTTGGGTGAAGCTCCTCTCTGAAGCAGACTCTTCACTATATTGAGATGCCCCATGAACGCAGCCACATGAAGAGGGGTCAGACCCGACTAAGAGACAAAAACATGCATTTTCGCAAAGACCTTAAATGTGTTTAATGATTCTGTCATGCACCAATGGATCAACAAAAATATATGTCATTTAATATTAACATAATATATTAATATTAAAGGAATTTATTACACTAATAAAAATAATTTATGTAAAAAAACTAATGGTATTAATGCTGTATACCTTACCATTCAAAAGCTAACCAAGGTTACATTTATTTGATCAAAAATACAGTAAAAACAGTAATATTGTAAACTAATATTACAATTTAAAATAACTGTTTCTTACTTTAATGTATTTTAAAATGTTATTTTTTCCTGTGATAGCAAAGCTGTATTTTCAGCAGACATTAATCCAATCTGTATTGTCACATGATCCTTCAGAAATCATTCTAATAAGCTGATTTGGAAGTATTTCTTATTACTGTCAATGTTGAAAACAGTTGTGCTGCTTCACATTTTTTTGGAAACTGTGAAACATTTTTTATGATTATTTGATAAAATAGAAAGTTCAAAAGAACAGTATTTATTTGTAATAGAAATCTTTTGTAACAAATATTTTACTGTCAGTTTTGATCAGTTTAATGCATCCTTGCTGAATAAAAGTATTAATTTCTTAAATCTTACTGACCCCAAACTTTTGGGTAGTGTATTATGTTAACATATTCTTGTCTTGAGAAGTAATCGTGAATTTGTCACCTTTCATTCCTACAGTCTTTCTATTTTCTACAAGGATCAAGCTAAAGGCGTAGATGGTGCAAAGTGAACAGAGGTTATCCATCAAAGTGACAGCCAGAGAGTAATCTGACCTCAGTCACAGCCTCCAGAGACGCTGAGTGCTTCAGCAGAAGGTCCATGGACCGCATGTGGTTCTTCTTGCAGGCAATGTGCAATGGAGTGAATCCATTCTGAAAGACAGACCAAAAAATCAACTAATGTTATGTTCAATATGTTCAGTTGTACGCTTTTAAATGGTGGACCAGGTTTATGTACTATTAATACTGCTCTATATGTATTGACTAATCTAATTATATCAATATCAAATTCAGCTTGTTTTATGGATGTAATCAATTACATCAATTGGTAATATTTATGAAAAAAGAAAAGAAGTATGGAAAAGGAAAACGACAGATGCACTAACCAATGCACGGGCATTAGCTTTTGCCCCTTTGTCCAACAGCACCTTGACCATACGGTGGTGCCCACAGTGTGCTGCAACATGCAGCGGGGTCAGGTGGTCGAGGGTAATGTCATCGATCTCTGCGTTGTATTGCAGCAGCTGCCTCACGCAGTCCATGTGATCGCCCTGCGCTGCCATGTGGATGGGAGACAGACCGTTCTGCAAGGAGGGACCCATCATTATTATCAATTGATCAGCATGATTATGGCATCAATAAAGCTAAAATCCATAACTGTATTGCCCATCTTAGTAATATAGTTTGGTCACCTTGGTCTTGGCCTGAATAGGAGCACCCTGGTCTAGCAGGATCTCCACCACACGTACATGACCGTTCCTGGCTGCACAATGCAGCGGCGTCAGCTCATCCTGCAGAAAAAATAAGCAATTTTGCAAATGGGTTTATCAGCCATGTTTCAGTGTATCCTACATGAGCTGCATTTTCTGTCCTTATTTATGTATGCATACCATTAAAACAGCAAGCTGTCACAAAGAGAAAATACCTGTTTTTCCCAAGAGGAATTAAAATAGGTCATCCTCCACTAACTAGACTTAGATAAGTCAGATTCAGCAGTCTCAGCAGTGAGATTTTTCATCAGCCAGTAAATAATGTCACTGTGAGATGTGACTATGGTTGGATAGATACTATGAATTCAGGAGGGTCGACTAGTTAGTTTGTCATCAAACTAACTGACTAGTCTATTTAGATACTCTGAAGACAGGAGGGTATTATATATACTGTATTTTATGTATTGCTTTTCTCATTACTAGCTTTTTAATATTTCTATTTAGCTTTCATTTATATTTATTTCAGTGTTAGGACTTCAGCTCTCAGTTGCATTTTTATACAACATACAACATTTTTATGAAATCATTTTATCAAATTTTCTTTTAGGTTTTTTAAGTTTAAGTTTTGTCATCTTTCATTATTTCATTTTATTTTAGCTTTATTTCAATGAAAATTATTTTTAATACTTTTAGTTAACAACAACAACACTGCAAACTGAGGCTATTTGATTATGAAAATATTTTGCACGTCCCTAATGGATACTGTACCTTTGTCTTGCCATCTATCTGAGCTCCTCTGTCCAACAGAAGCCGCACCATAATCACATTCCCCCTCCTGGAAGCGATATGTAATGGAGTGATGCCATTCTTCAAGAGAAAAGGAGAGAAAGTGAGAAGTTCATATAATCGTTCACATAATAATTGGAAGCATTTAATTTGAGAGCTGCACTGACCTTCGGCATGAAGTTCACGTTGGCTCCTCTGTTTAACAAAAGCTGTGCGACACTGAGATTCTCATAATGGGCTGCGATGTGGAGAGGAGTAAAGCCGGTCTACGGGAAAAAAATGGTGTAGCATTTCATTGATTCAGTGCATGTACAAAACAGGAACACCTACGCTGACGGATCTTTAAACAAAGTCAGTTCTGTTTATCTTGTCACATAGTCATCACTGCAATTACAAGCCAAGAGCGACTCCATTGAGCTCAGTGAGTCATGATGCGTAATCTCACTCGTGCTGAGATAAAACCTTTCAGATGTGCACAAACACACATACTTTGCTGAGGACATCTGGGTTTGGGTCGTTCTGCAGCAGTACGGCAGCAGTGCGCGTGTCGTCGTTGCGTGCCGCGATGTGCAGAGCCGGCAGACGCACTTTGCCCTTGGTGCCATAGTTTATCAGGAGGGCCACCACGTTCTCGTGACCCTGCTGAAGACTAACCATAAGCACACAGTTTCATGCGATGTGCAGGGCCGGCAGACGCACTTTGCCCTTGGTGCCATAGTTTATCAGGAGGGCCACCACGTTCTCGTGACCCTGCTGAAGAGCTACCGCCAAAGGAGTAAAGCCATCCTGGAGGGCGAAATCAAGAGTTGTAGGGTCATTTGGGTTTGATTTCAGCTGAGCTTGATTTCAAGATGTCACTCACCTCAGTTGGAAGGCTCTGATTGGCTCCATGTTCAAGTAGATATTTTACCACTTCTAAGTGGTTCTCCTGTGCTGCCATGTACAGGGGACTGAAGCCTTTCTGCAGAACACAACATAACACCACAGAACAAATTAATTAAGCTTTTCATCAACATGTTTCGAGGTTTGTTGATTCATGTTTTGAGGCTCAGACTAACCTGAGACTGGGCATTGACGTTGGCACCATAATTGACCAGTTCAGCAATCACTTTCTCTTGACCGGCCAGAGCAGCAATATGAAGGGCGGTATTCCCTTTCTGCAAAATGAATAGTCATGTAAATATAATACAGAGAAAGATCCGACAATGCATGTTAAATAGCATATACAGTATTTTGAAGATGTCATTTAATTTTATTGCTTTTATTTGGTTTCATTTTTGCTTGTTTTTAGGGCTTTGCAATTGCAAATGCTAAAAATAGCGATATGAGCATGTGCGATTTCTACCGCATGAAACAGTGATTTTATTTATTTATTTATACGTTAATTCAGAATTCTGTAACATTCTAAATGATTATTGCAACAAAGCAAGACTACAAACCTTTTTATCATTGGAATTTAGACAGTTATTTTTCTCGTCTATTCTAAAGACATTGTACTAGTTTTACTGTAGTTTTTTTATTTTTATTAAAATGTCTTATATTTTGACACTTTTACCTACAAAAGTGAAAGGTGCTATAGAAATAAAATGCATTATGACATTAGTGGGAGGGACATTCTCATTCTACAGATTATTTAATTGGACAAAAAGTTGTAATGAAAGACAATCATCAATATTTTTGATTAATTTTCCCAGATGAGATAAACCGTACATTTTAAATGCACAAATTTGTAATTTTGTCAACTTTTATAAGTACACTAACCTATATTTCAAATCTCAGCAATGATGAGAAGTGTGTTGCCTATTGCTATTGCCAACATAATAAATGGCAAAGTTCAATAAATAGTTATTTATTAATATAGATATTCAGAATAAATATTTCTTCCACTGGGTAAGAGTTCATTAACAGTTAATATCTGTAGGATAATGACTTTTTACAGTTGCCAAGAAATGTACTGTATAACAACTGAGCCTGAACTATCCCATTTATAAATCTGTTTTTGGCCCGCTGGAGGAAGCCTGACTGACTGAAGGAAGTAGATTTACCTTTGTAGTAGTCTCCAAGTCAATTCCATTGTGCAGCAGCTCCAGCACCATCTTAACATGGCCTTCTTTGGAGGCCAAATGCAACCCATTAAGCCCATTCTGCGAATACAAGAGAAAATATGAGGTGTTGAAAAACAAAACAAAAAACACACCCTGACACATCTCAAGTCTATTTCTTTATCTCTCCCGTCTACCTGTCAAATGACTCACTGAGAGGAGGGCAGCCTAAAAATAACAGTGAAGCACTGAGACATCTACAGATCTGTGGAGCTCTCATTAAACAGGGTGTGGAAATAGAGCGGCGGAGGAAACAGACAAAAAGGCCGGGAGAGGTAAAGGCTGATCAGGAGAACGGCCCACGGTACAGTGTGTGCTTCTGTAAGGAAGCTGGGTGTGTAGTCTGGTGCGGCCATAGGGGGGCTCTGCTCTGCTAGTCTGACTGGAATCCCCTTCATACTGCAGTGTCACTCATCTCTAATGAGCTCCTACTGCAGCTGCACAGTGCATGCGCAGAGGAGAGAAAGACAGAATGGAGACGGAGGGGTGCTTGCAGACGGTGGGGAGGAGCCCTGATGAAAACAGCCACACGTGCCCGCTTGGTATTAATATTCACTGGACGTGCTTCATAATGTTTTGGGAAATATCACACAGTACTGAAACCCACACTCAGTGTTATACATCCATGGATTATATGAAAATATATAGTAAAAATGTATACCATTCAAAATCTTAGGGTCAGTAATTTCCTTTTTAAAGAAATTAATACATTTATTTAGTAAGGACGCATTAAATTGATCAAATGAAATGATGTGCTTGTGAATTGATGTTTCACGAGAACCAAATGAGGCATCATGTGACACTGAAGACTGGAGTAATGAATGGCCGCTGAAAATTCATCGAATAAATGCAGCCTTGGTGAGCAAAAGATACTTTTTTGTGTGTGTGTATATATATATATACTGTATATACACACACAATACTATATATATATAAATATATACATATACATATTATATATTGTATATACTGTATATTGTGTATATAATGAAATGATATTTGTGCAAAGTAGCCAGCCAAGTACTAGATTGCTCATTCAGCAGTCAGGGATAGTTCACCCAAAATGCAAATTCGGTCTCCATTTCATGGCTAAATAAGGTCGCATTTGCTTGATTTACTTTTTTCTTTCTGTGAAACACAAAAGGAGAAATTCTAAAGGCATTCTGATCTTGAAAAGCTTCTAAATGGATGAAAAAACATTACAATTTATGTGCATTTGGTACACACTATTATCCAAAGCCACTTACATGGCACTTGATACATTTTT